AGCCCATCAGATCTAGCTGTTCCTCGATAACTTCAAGTCTCCAGGTCTGCCTCTACTTATAGTGCCCACATCCTTCTGGTCCTTTTCCATTTATCCATCACTTACTTCCTTCTCTTAGAGTCACCTGGGGTCTCTGAATGTCTGGGTTCCTGTCAGGAATGGTCTCAAGAGTGCTATGCCCCATTCATGAATTATGGCACCAGACAAGTCATCTCGGGCATGGTCTGCTTCCTCATGCTTGCCTGGTATCAGACTGGTGGTCATCTCAGGCAAGGTCCCTGTCTAGGTCCCATGCCCCAGTCTGGTGGTCATCATAGACTGACTCCTAACCTAGCCAAAAAAAAAAAAAAAAAAAATTAAAAAAATAAATAACACCTGCAGTGTCACATTTCTTGAATGTATTTATTATTGGTTTTCCTTAGTTTTCTTTTTCTTTTTCCATAGTCTACTTTTTCTTTAAAAGTATAGTAGAATTATAAATTAAAACCATCTAGCCCTGGGTTTTTTTTTTGGGGGGGGGGGAGACTTAATTACTGATTCCATTTCACTAAGAGTTATAGTTCTGTTTAAATTGCTTTACTGATCTTGATTTACTTTGGTAAGTGGTATGTATAAAAAAAAGTCACCAGTTATTTTAGACTTCCCAACTTGGTGGAATGAAAGCTTTTAAAGCATGTTCTTATGTTGAAGTAATTATTTAAAAATGGCCGCTGGTCAACTATTTTTTTTGTTTTGTTTTTGGTTTTGTTTTTTTTTTTTCGAGACAGGGTTTCTCTGTGTAGCCCTGGCTGTCCTGGAACTCACTCTGTAGACCAGGCTAGCCTCGAACTCAGAAATCCGCCTGCCTCTGCCTCCCAAGTGCTGGGATTAAAGGTGTGCGCCACCACCGGCTCAACTGACTATCTGTGCTGTGGCGGCTCTGCCTAGCTCAGCCGCCATGTTTCTCGGCCGGAGGCCACGTGCACACAGCAGCTAGAAACAGCAAGCCAGAAACACCAACCCTGCCACCCACAAGATGACAATGTGGGAGATGGCTCTACCAATCTTCCATGCTGTCTCCAAAAGGCTGGGCTTTGCCCAGACCATCCCGCCATCCACGAGGGCCTGGTAGAAAAAAATGAGACTCTAATGCTTAAATATTAATCAAAGGCTTTATATATTTAGTATTGCTCAGTAACAATATGCTCATACAATTAGAGTTATTTCCCAATTAGCTAACCTAATTATAAGTTGTTCCTCGTGACTGCTCTCCATACCTGCGTGGTTCTCCGTCCTCCTACATCTCTGCTCTCCCTCCTTCTCCTCGCTCTTCCTCTTCCTTCTCCTCTTCCCACCTTAGCTCCTCCTACATTCTTATGATTCTCTGAATCCCCTCAGTGTCTGTTCTATATCTTCCTTTCATCTATAATTTTCTTCATTTGGATCGTCTCTCTCCACTTTTTAGGTAATTTGGCTAAGGTTTGTCAGTCTTACTGATTTTCTGAAAGACCCAAATCTTTCTTTCATTGATTCTCTGTGTTTTATTGTTGATACTGCTGTTGTTTCTATTTTACAGAATTTAGTCCTGATTTTAATTATTTCTTGCCTTCTACTCCTTTTTGTGTAATTTCATCTTCCTATTCTAGAGCTTTTAGGTGTGGGAGACCGCTCTAATTTTTTTTGTGTAGGTACATAGCATTATGAACTTGTCTCTTATAACACCTTCATCATATCCCCTAAGTTTGGTTATATGGTGTCTTCACTTTCATTCAATTCTAGGAAGTCCTTCATTTCTTTTATAATTTCGGTCTTGACCCAGTTTTCATTCAACTTGACCCAGTGTTGTTCAGTTTCCATGAGTTTGTAAGCTTTCTGAGATTTCTGTTGTTATTCATAACCAGCTTTAACCCATGGTGGTTACATAAGTTACCAGGTATTATTTGGATTTTTTTTATATCTTTTGATACCTACTTTGTGTCTAAGTATATGGTCAATTTTCGAGAAAGTTCAATGAGATACGGAGAAGAAGGTGTAGCCTTTGGTGTTTGGGTGAAGTGTTTTGTAGATATCTGTTGGATCTATTTGGTTTCTAACAACTCAAGTTAGCTCCAGCATTTCTCTATTTAGTTTTTGTCTGAATGATCTGTCTATTGGCGAGAGTTGGATATTGCAGTCTCCCACTATTAGTGTGTGAGTCTCAATATGTGATTTAAACTATAGTATTGTTTCTTTTATGAACTTTGGTGTCCTGTGTTTTATGCATAGAAGTTGGTGGATTTTTTTCTTAGATGAGCATGTAGAGTCCCTTCCTATCTCTTCTGTTTAGTTTTGGTTAAGTCTATTTTGTCAGATATTAAAATGGCTGCTCCAGCTTGTTTCTTGGGTCTGTTTGCCTGGAAAATCCTTTACCAGCCTTTTACTCTGAGGTAATATCTATCTTTGTTGCTAAGGTGTGTTTCTTCAATGCAGCAGAAGGATGGGTCCTGTCTGGGTCTTTTTATTGGGGAATTGAGACTGTTCATATTGAGAGATATCAATGAGCAATGTTTTGATTCTTTTTCTTTTGTTGTGGTGGTGGTGTGTGTTTCTCTTCTTTTGATTTGCTGCTCTGGCTTTATTTATCCCTTTTGTTTTCTTAGATATAGTTAACTTATTTAGGTTAGAGTTTTCCTTCTAGTGCCTTTTATAGGCCTGGATTTGTAGATAGATATTTCTTAAATGTTGTTTTGTTGTGAAATGTCTTATTTTCTCTATATATGGGGATTGAAATTTTTACTAAGTATAATAGTCTAGGTAGGTATTTGTAGTTCTTAAGAGTCTGTAGAACACTCCAGTCCCTTCTGGCTTTTAAAGTCTTCATTGAGAAGACATCCTTTATATGTTACTCAGTCTGTTTTCCTTGCAGCTTTTAATATTCTTTCTTTGTCCTGTACATTTAGTGTTTTGATCATTATGTGCTAAGAAGACTTTCTTTTCTGATACAGTCTGTCATTCTAGATGTGGCCTGTACCTTGATAGGCATGTCATTCTTTAGGTTAGGGAAATTTTCTTCTATGATTTTGTTGAAAATATTTCCTGGTTTTTTTTGGACTTTTTTTTTGCTTTTTTTGTTTTTTTTCTCTTTCCTCTATTCTTATTCCTAGGTTTGGTCTTTTCATGGTGCCTCAGGTTTCTTGTATTTTTTAAAAAGAATTATTTATGTATTTATTTTATGTATATGAGTACACTGTAGCTGTCTTCAGACACACCAGAAGAGGGCATCAGATCCCATTGCAGATGGTTGTGAGCCTCCATGTAGTTTGCTGGGAATTGAACTCAAGACCTCTGGGAGAACAGTCAGTGCTCTTAACCACTGAGCCATCTCTCCAACCCTTCTTGCATATTTTGTGTAGGGATTTTGTTAGTTTTACCATTGTCGTCACAGAGATATCCACTTCTTCTATTTCGTGTTAAATGCCTTTCATCTTGTGCATTCTGTTTGTGTGGGGGCTTGCCTCTGTTCCTGTTCAAGTTTCTAAACTTTTCATTTCTAGACTTCCCTCAGTTGTGGTTTTCTGTATTGATTCTATTTCTACTTTCGTGTCTAGAACTGTTTATTCATTTCTTTCCATTATTTGCTTGTGTTCTCATAGATTTCTCTATGAGATGTCTTCATTTCTTTAATGGTCTCTGTCATATTTATAAAGGCTATTATAATGTCTTTTAGTGTGCATCAGCTATGTTGACGTACTCAAGGCCTGCTGTGGTAGGGTTGCTGTGCTCCAGTTAAACACACTGTTTTTATGTTTTTATGTTGGCTTCTAGGCATCTGGCTTTGGGAAAGTTGTAATTCTGGGTGCTGGTATATGTTCTTGTCTTTTTTGGATGTGTGGTTTGTTCCTTGGTTTCTGTGGCACTCTCTGTTAGGAGAGTGTGGTTATTAGGTGTTGTCTGATAGGAAATTCTTGTGAGATCCAGATAGGTGAGGCCACTGGGAGTTCCAGGTAAAATGTGTTTCTGGATATTGGCAGCTGACACTTAGCAATGAGGGTGGGCTAGGAATGGAGTGCTGACAGAGTCCACAGTAGGGAAGAAAGCAAGTGCTTAACTAGGATCTGCTTACTCCCCTGGGAATGGGTCATCCCCTGGGGATGAGACTGGGGGTTAGATGTGTAGATATGGAGAAGGAGGTGACAATCTGCAGTTAGTGCACCTGTTTTACTGACCAGACTGACTAGCCTCTGGGTTGCCAAAGAATGCCTGTTGGAGTTGGAGGCTGGGATAAAGCAGTGAATGGGGAGAAGCAGGTTTGGAGGTGTGAATCTGTGTGATCTGTTGGGCATAGGGCCACACTAGGTGGTCTGCTACAGAGCTTGGGGTGAGACTGGGGAATTGGATTTGGAGGAGAGGAGGGAGAGGTAAAGATCTCTGGCTGGATATCCTTAGTCGTCTTTAAAATTCTAATGAGTGATCTCCCTCTTTCCTTCTGTTTTTCTTTTTCTTGTTTTGGTTTTTCTCAGACAGAGTCTCACTATCTAGTCCAAGCTACCCTAGAACTCAGGACCCTGTACCTCTGGCTCCTTGTTGCTGAGACTACAGTTGTATACTTCCACCACCACAGATTTTTACCCTGTTTTGGTTTTGAGAATTCCAAATCCAGACCTGTTTTCTTAAGGGGTTGTACATATTACATATTGGTTTGGTATAGACTTCTATTCATGATTTGGTTTAAATACCTTTACCAAAGGGTGTGTATTTCCTGTAGAATGCAAAGAAACATTTACGATTATTTCAGTGTAGTTAGATGTAATCTCATTAAGCAGACATGTCTTCCATTTCCAACCTGTTGTACTATAAAGAGTATTTCTTTACGTAGATTGTACTATTGCTGTTCTTCTTCCTCGTGTTCAGCTTCTCAGAAAATACTTTGCAGTCTGGCCATTCATTTAGTGGACTTTATATTATAGGAAAATTGTGTGTGTGCGTGTGCATGTGCATGTAACAAGAAAATAAAGTATTCTTGTTTTCTCCTTTTCTTTCAGATTTGGAGTCATGTTTTGAAACTGAAAATATGTCTCCAGAAAATCAAACTTATGATATAAATTTATTCAAACAGAGAATAAATCAATTCAGTAAAACTTTTGACCTGAAGGGTTGCAGTTTTACTAATGGCCCCAACTATAATACATTCAAAGGACTACCGAGTTCTCAAGAAGGAGATGTTGGTCAACAGATTACTAACAAGGAAGAAATGCGTGCTTTTACCAGCCAGACTCTTGCTCACAACATAGAAAAGGCATATGAATGTAAAGAGTGTGGGAAGTACTTTGGTTGTAGGTCAACACTTATTCAGCATCAGAGTATTCATACTGGAGAAAAACCCTATAAATGTAAGGAGTGTGGGAAGGCCTTCAGACTCCCCCATCAGCTGACAAGACATCAGAAGTCTCACAGTGCTGAGAGACCTTTCAAATGTAATGAATGTGGAAAGGCTTTTCACCTTCCTGACCTGCTCAAGTACCATAAAATCATTCATACAGGTGAAAAACCTTTTGAATGTGAAGAATGTGGGAAGTCCTTCAAGCGTTTCTTCCACCTTGTTGAACATAGAACTATTCACGCTGGTGTGAAACCCTATGAATGTAGTGAGTGTGGGAAAGCCTTTAAACGTCGCTCATACCTTATGCAACATCAGAAAATTCATTCTGGTGAGAGACCCTTCCAGTGTAAGGACTGTGGAAAGACCTTCATTGTTCTGTCACAGCTCACTCGGCACCAGAACATTCACACTGAAGACAAGTCATTTGAATGTAAGCATTGTGGGAAGATATTCAGCTGTGGCTCATTCCTCTTGCGACACCAGAGTATTCATACCAGTGAGAAACCCTTTGAATGTAATGTATGTGGCAAGGCTTTTCAGCTTCAGATATACCTTTCTGAGCATCAGAAAACTCATACTGATGAGAAACCTTTCAAGTGTAAGCTGTGTGGGTCAGCCTTCAGACGTAAGGACCAACTTAATGAACATCAGAAAATTCATACTGATGAAAAACCCTATCAGTGCAAGGAATGTGGAAAATTATTTCGCCGAAAATCAAGTTTTACTGAACATCAGAGTATTCACAGTGAAAAGAAGCCTTTCAACTGTAAGGATTGTGGGAAGGTCTTTAGACTTAATATACATCTCATGAGACATCAGAAATCTCACAATGGTAAGAGACCTTTTGAGTGCAAAGAATGCGGAAAGGCTTTTCATCTTCCCAGCCAGCTTAATTACCATAAAGCTGTTCATACAAATCAAAAACCATTTGCTTGTGAAGAATGTGGGAAGTCCTTCAAGCATGTCTCCAGCCTTGCTGAACATAGGGTTATTCATGCTGCTGTGAAACCATTTGAATGTAATGAGTGTGGGAGAGCCTTTAATCATCGCTCAAACCTCAAGCAACATCAGAAAATTCATTCCGGTGAGAGACCCTTTCAGTGTAAGGACTGTGGGAAGGCCTTCACTGTTCTGGCACAGCTCACACGGCACCAGACTATTCATACTGGAGAGAAATCATTTGAGTGTGAGCAGTGTGGATCCACTTTCCGACTTAAGTCCCAACTCAATCAACATCAGAGAATTCATACCGATGTGAAACCATTTCAGTGCAAAGAATGTGGAAAGGGATTTGTTCGTGGTACAGCTCTTAGAATTCATCAGAGAATCCACACTGGTGAGAAACCGTTTCAATGTAACAAATGTGGGGAAGCTTTTCGATATCATTACCAGTTTCTTGGACATTTTAGGACTCATACTGGCAAGAATCTTTCTGAATGTAAAGAATTGTGGCGGAGACCTTAAAGTACGTCAAAGAATTCACACTGGTGAGAAACCTTACAAACGTTAAGTCTTGACAAATGTTAAGGCAAAAAAAATCAAGCTTGGTTTGACATGCCTAAATTAGTAAGAATCCTTACGATGTAAGATGTGGAAAGGCCTTTAGCAATATTGCTAAGCTAGCTGTATATCAGGGGATTCATTCTGGTGAGAAACTGTGAATGTAAGAAGTGTAAGAAAATGTTTAGATTTAGTTCAGCCTTCAGTGCACATTGGAGAGTTCTAAAGTGGAAATTTCTGGTTTCTTTGGAGACTCAGTTGTGTCATGTGATAATTGTTCTGAAAACTGTCTTATGAGAGGATGTTTTGCTGAGAACAGACACATGGTGTTTTTCTGGAAGCTGCCTGGTGAAAGGACTTGTGATGTTTTGCTGGAGAGGATATGTGATGTTTGGAAAGAGTATAAGTATAACCCAACAGACAGTTGATGCTGCTCTGGCATTGGTTCACCTTGCCACTCTTTGCTGGTCTTCGTTGGGCCTTGCTGATGCTGATGTTCACTGATGATGCTGTGACATTGGTTCACCTTGCCTTCTTCAATGATCATTGCTTGTCGTGACTTTGTAGAGAGAAATGCACCAAAGAACTCATGATATTCCAGTGGCTTCTTGCCACTTCTGAGGACTTAGACTGATTGGCAGAGCCTTGTATTTTCTTCTGGATAGAACTGCCGATGCTGATTCCTGAAGGTGTTTCCGAGTGGATAGGGCTACTGCTGCTGATTCATGTGGACTGAACTGCTGATACCCTGACAATGAAAATTGTAATCACCCCAAAGAACTATTTATAAACAGGTCCACATCTGTCTTTGCCCTATGAATCCTTCCTATTCACTACCTCTGGTGGCTGTTGGACTAGAAGGGAGAGTGAAGTGTTTAAAAACCCTTATTAAAACAGGTTTTGAAAACTCTAAGCCTATAGAATTCATATTGGTATAAAACCCTATCAGTGTAAAGAAAATGGAAAGACCTTTGATTGGAGCTCAGGCTTTCTTCAACATAAAGGGATTTATGCTAGTGTGAAACCCTATGAATGCAACGAATGTGTGAACACTTTTAGAATTAGCCAAGCTCTTATACCTTTTCAGAGAGCCCACATAGATCTGAAACCCTATGAATGTGGAGACTGAGAGAAACCCTTTATTGTAAATGGTGAGGTTACATGACACCTGAAAATCCATGATCATCTGGAGTCTTCTACATGTAACGAAGGGAGATAAGCGTTTGTCTGGAAATAATACTTTTGAATATACAACTGAAAAGAAAATGGGAAGAACCTTAATCTGGCCTAGGATTTGGTCAGCAAGAGTATTCCTATACTCTCGATGTCAAGAAACCCGTAGAGAATGAGAAGGTGGGAAGTTTGATGTTCAGAGGAGGTACCCTGTTCAAAATGTCTTCAAATGTGAGATATAATAGGGTGGCCATCATGTTCTTGATATACTGTCATCCTGTTAATTCTATAAACATAACTCACCAAACACTACTTAGCCACGACAGTCAACTTAGAGCAGTTGTTAGAGTTAGGTTTACCTGGAGTGCCCTCTCGCCTCCCAGTTAACATCCATGGCCCCCGTCTGTTTCCTTTCTTTTTGAATAATCTGTTAATAGCCAGCGCAATACCAACCAAAGGTGTGGAACAGAGTGGCATTGGATAATAAAATCTTTCAGAGAGTATTTGGTTGATACATGTGTTCTTTAAAATATCTTTTTCATTGGTTTCACTTTTAGCGTTACTGTGACTTACATAAGTGGCAAATTGTATTGCAAATTGCAGATAGTTTGGAAAAACATCATGCATTCACCCAGTATTAAATTTTATATAACTTCATTCTGGGTACAATCTAATGAATGAGATCAAAATGAATGGATTTTCTTTTTCTTTTTTTCTTTTTTTTTTTAGTTTTTGGGTGGAAATATTAAAAACACAGCCATAGATGAATAAGTACTTTTTAAAAGGGTTAAACCCATAAAATTTTCAAAAGGTAAAACTCTGTAATTTATATTGCCTGCCCAGACCTTAAGACAAACTCTATATCTGTGACAAGGCAAGTCAGTACAGAGGTCTTCTGTTTTTGTTGAGGTCATTTTAGGTTTGACTAGAATTTGACTTTCTTGTTAGAGAATCTCCTGGAATATTACCTAACTCCATTCTGGTAACGTGAAGTCAAGCTGCCTGTGATAATTTAACCTGATTCCTGTTAAACTGCCTTTATGTGCAAACATTCCCTTCCACCTAACTGCTTATCTTGATTTCAGTTAAACTGCCTGGGGCAAAAGTTCCCCCTGCAGCTACTGAGCAAGATAAAAGGATGTAATTTTTGATTTTAATAGCCCCTTGCTCTAAACATGGGTGCTACTCTTAGGTCCTGAATACCTGAGTGTAGTCCCAGCCAACTGGAATAAAGATTTTATGTTGATTACAAACTGTGTCTGAGTGGTATTCTCTGCTAAACTGCCTGCAACACATCAAAAATAGCCAAATTGAAATCACTTCTAAAAACAAATATCTGAAATGTTATGCATATAAAAATGTTGGAATAGTCAACAGCTCACTTCTGTATCCTCACCTAGAGTCAAAACTGGTAACAATTCATGGTGATCCTATTTTTCTGTATATGGGTATTTAGGGTTGTACCATTAAGAATACATTTTAGTGTTGGATATAGTAGTACATGCCTAAATCACAGGAATTTGGGAAGGTGAGGCAGGAGGATCAAGAGTTGAAGGCAAGCCCAGCAACATAGTGTCTTCAAGTTCAGTTCTGACTGTAGAGAAACAAAAAAAAAAAAAGTTTTACAAAAAATAAGTTGTAGACATAACTTTTTTTTTTTTTTTTTTTTTTTTTTTGGTTTTTCGAGACAGGGTTTCTCTGTGTAGCCCTGGCTGTCCTGGAACTCACTCTGTAGACCAGGCTGGCCTCAAACTCAGAAATCCGCCTGCCTCTGCCTCCCAAGTACTGGGATTAAAGGTGTGCGCCACCACCGCCCGGCCTAGACATAACATTTTATTCTTTACTACATCAGCCAAGATGGAATGTCATCTATACCACAGAACCACAATGATTCTTAAGGAAATAATCCAGGATTTTACGATGTTCACGAATTTGTCATTGTCCTCCAAAGTGCCCTTTTTACAAATGTATATATCTTGAGGAGAACACAATATAGATATAAAGTTGGCCTTGCTCTGTTCTGGATTGAATTTTCAGTGTTAATTGAACCCAGGGCCTTGTACATAGTAGCAATGTGCTAGATTTCAGCCCTTGGACATTGTATCTTCTATCCAAAGGAAATTAGGTTCAGACAAGACATTTTGGGTAAGAACACATGTGTATTATGTCATGTTGTACTGTATCCAGAAGCATTTATGTGTCAGCTATCACATTATTGTTGAAATTTATCATTTGGATAAGGTGGTAGGTGCCAGCACTCCACTAAAAGGTCAAGTTTGTTGTGGATACATAATCTAGAAACAGAGATTACTTCCAAATGTTTTTACATATGGATACTTTAATCCTGGGTCAAATATATATAATTCAAATTAATTTATGAATGAATAGCAAAATAATGTTAAGATAATTCAAGTTGTGTGGTGTAACTGATGCTGTACTCAGTACAAAATTAGTACCATTCAGTGTAAGCAGAAAGCCAAGACTGTTTTGACTGGAACCTTGTTTTTGTTGGCACTTGAGCTCCAAGTAAAGATGCGATTGCTAGCCCGTGAGCAATTGACAACGCTGGAAAAAGTTCAGCATTCAAGTCAAGAAGCTGCACAACGCTGGCCTTTGTCAGAGACCAGGACCCCTAACAGGGACCCCTGCCGGCCTTCCCCCTTGCCTGGAAACCGAAGCCTTGTCACCCACCTACATCCTGTTCAGTTGAATACCTTGACTATGCCTCATCCTGCTGAGAGCTGATGCACAAAGAGATAGCTACTTCTGAGAAAAGCCCCTAACCACAAAATGTTCTAGGGCACAGGCCAAGAAGAAGCTGTACCTTTCCATGACCCCACCTGCCTTCCCCCTCCCCTAACCCGAGCTTGTTATAAAAAGCTTGCCTTTTTTAAAATACATGGCTCTTGACAAGCAACCGTTTGCTTGGGTCCTTCTTTTCTCTCGCCCGTTTCTCTTCCAGGTTTTGGTTCCCCTCGCCCCCACGAATAACTGAGACCCGCAGGTCGGGTCAGGTGGCGCCCAATGTTTGGGGCTCGAGGCACGGACCTCTCCGGACGGACACCCCAAGAGAGAGCAGCTGCGACATCGTTGAAGAGAGAGGCAGTCGTCGCCACCCTAGACCTGCCGACCTCGGTGAGTTTTATTTTCATTCCGTCCCATAGAAATGGGCCATTCATTGTCAAAGGAGGCGAGTTTCATTAAGGGCCTCAAAGATGCACTCAGAGAGAGAGGAATCAGGGTAAAGAAAAAGGATCTCGTGAAATTTTTTATTTTTGTTGATGAAAAATGTCCTTGGTTTATGATTGATGGACCGACTATACATCCAAAGAAATGGCAGAAAGTTGGACGAGAATTAAATGAAAAAATAGCCAAGGATAAAGATGAGGGAATAACAAAGACAATATTTTCTTTTTGGGGTTTAATTAGAGATGTCATTGAGGATGCTCAGGGAGATGAGGGAAAGCGCCAACTGCTTTTGGTGGCTGAATATTGTCTTAGCCAGTCTCATCCTGGGTCGCGAAATTCCAATCGCGACCAAGATCCATCAGACACCTTGACCAATGAAGCTGGCCCCGCCGGGGAGATTGATCCCCTTAGACCGCCCTCCCGGACATCTGACTCCTTTTCCATCCTTGATGTGTCGGTCACTTCACCTAAGCCCTCCCCCGTTCGCCTTTATCCCCCTCTGCCATCGCCCCCCCTCCTCTCTTCCTCTCCTTTGCGTCCGCCTCCATATGTTCTACCCTCCGCGCCTCCCTGCCCCCCTCCCGAAGTTTCGTCTTCTCCTTTTATTGCTCCTGTCTTCCCTTCCACTGCTCCCGCCTGCGGGATTGATGCCGCCGCGTCCCCTCTCTCGCCCTCTTCCCAGCTCCCCCGGCCTGATCCCTTAGATCTTCCTGATACAGCCAACCTTGAGGTGGAAGCTGCCCGCCGACATGCTCCTGATCAGCCTCCTCTAAGAACTTTGACTTTTCCCCTCATATCTGGGCCAGACCTGCCCGCTTCTCTGTCTTCCGTTCGCGCTCACCTTTCTGATCAGCTTCGGGAACTGACTGACATTCTCCGCCTTCAGGATCAGGTCGCGCGCCTTTCAGTTCTTTGTGCGCCCAGCCTCCCTTGCGCTTGGCTTTTCCGGTTACCCGCTCCGGCCATGGGTCCTCAGACCCTGCTCCGGACCCCCAGCCCTCTTCCACAACTGACCAGGGGTCCCCGCCCACAAATCCCGCGCCCCCTACGGGTGACCCTCCCCCGGGCCCAGTTCATGATTCCTCGGACGAGGGTGCTTCAGAGGAGGGAGGGTATATGTGCCCTTCCCCCAGCCTTGAGCAGGCCTGAGAGACCTTGTTACCACAATAGACCAAATCACAGGATCTAGGTGGAACTACCCACCTTGGCTGCATGACAACAGACTCCTAGGTGGAATCACCCACCTTGGCTGCATGTACAGCCTGCTTCCAGGACTTGGGTTTGATTCCCAGAACCCACATGACAACTCACAGATATCCTGTCCCAGGGGATCTAATGCCTGCTTCTGGCCTCCATAAGCACTGTGCATATGTGGTACACAATTATGCACCCACATACATTCAAAAAAAAGATAAGCAATACCTGAAGGGTCTGAAAGAATGAATGTCACTGAAGGCTGGGGGAAGATAACATAGGTGCTATTTCTACCCTAACAATGCTCAAACACTTTCTTTTTCAATACAGGTCAGAAATTCTGCTGGATTTTAAAAG